CATATCGGTAAACGTGAAGGTTGATCGGTGGACATACATATACGCGAAATCATGTACAACCAAAGAAGTCAGAGTAAGCAGCGCGACCAGGAAGAAGAGGTGGAGGAAACCCAACAGACCCAATTGTCGGCAGTAGTAGCTAGTTAAAACACCTTGACCAATGCAGGGGCTCAGTTGAATGCCGTAACGGAAGAAAGCTTGCGGGATATTGAACGATTGCGCAGCAACGTCCAATCAGCAACAAACTATATGTTTGCATGATTTTACCGCAAATCATGCCAGGGGCGGTGCCCCAGGAAGTCAGCCAGAATTTTACATTCCATCCGAATGAAGCCAGACAAGGCAGAGGAGTGGCCATTGCTTTTTGCCAACTTTAAAGACACAACAGAAGCATTTCGCTTCAGCAACCCCCAGTATCTAACGAGGTTCCATAAATGCTAAGTCGGTCAAGCCAAGTACACAGTAGCCGCGATGCTTGTATATCCAGAGGACGAACCAAACGCGATTACTGAACAAGAGTTTCATTTTGACCGCTAGTTAGAGCCAAACTAGCAAAATTCAACAGTTCGCCGAGCACAAGGTGGAACAAATATTGGCATTCTAAATCAAGACAAGAAATATCGTAACATTCTTGTGAACAACATCATGTGAACAATATCTTAACAACACCACGCTTTTGAAGCAGTTAGTAATGAAGGTGCCACCCAGCAAACAGTATGAATGGACGCGGCAAGTGGTAACTATAAAACGGTATGCAACAGTCAGGGATTATTCATAGTTGCTAAGCCGTCTCGCCAGAAAAGTGTGTCTAACGCCACCAGCAAATGCAAACAATCGAGACCAAACAGTAAGTCAGCAACAACAACATCCGCGCCGTTTGATGCTTGTTGGAAAGGAAGCGTTAAAAGGATAGTCAGGTTTGAGATGGTACGTCTGTCAAGGAATTCACTCTATTTCTAACTGAACCACTTTTAAAGGATTAGATTTTCGAGATAGCAGGCGAAAGGACTCTCGTGTTTACGAAGAGGACATAGTACACTTCATTACCTTTCGAAGAAAAAGTGCATCGTTACCTACATGAAGAACCAAATCCAAGTAAACCGCCAGACACCATCCAAAGTCAAATCGTGTTGAACTGTAGAGATGTGGAGTGCACCAGAGCACATTATAGTATAGATTTGCGAGTTCAGTCTTTTAAGAGATTACGATTGCCCCCATTTTAAGTTCTTGCTAACCTACCTTAGTTCTAAGACTACTAGCACATTAAGCCGTCATTGTTGTTGGGTCTGGACATCGCTTGTTTAGTGCACCGTTATCAACCATTCAAGTAGACAACATCCGCGTACCATAGCCATTAACACGAACTGGGTTGAATTGTGTATAGTCCGACTGCATCAACAGTATCAGCTTCAGTCGTATTACACCTCCGAGTGAGAGAGACACATCGCTTCATGAGTTAGTCACTGGATATTTTGCCGCAGAAAATTTTGGAATGAGTGAGCCACTGAAGGAGATCGAGGCAAAATAGAAGAGCACGCCAGACGCTAGTAAAAAACACACATCGCATATGTAACGTTTTGAAAGTGAACAAACAGTTACGATATGGCCTATAAACGTCTAATAGGTATAAAAAGAAATATGAAAATAGATCCAGAGTTTAACGTCAATTACACAGAAGAAATTGCCAAATACTGACGTAGTGGTTATGCTCGACAGCGGTCACAAGAAGAAATAGGTAAAGGAGCTAATATTAATTTGTATTTAACACACATTACAGTACAAAACCAACACAAGTCGCATAAGAAGCAAATCGTGCAGCAGCACAGGTCAGTGGGGTTTCGTTGAATTCCATGCCGCTTAAAGGACCAGAATATACGAAAACATTGCTGAACATTTTATTTCGATTTCGACATTTTATTTCGATATGAACAAAAACCGATACGTGAATTTTGAGAAGGAAGCAAATTCTGAAAAAGTATTGGGAATTCGGTGGAACACGTCGTCAGACTCATTCGAGTTCTAAGTCAACATTCACTGTATTCGGAAACTAGTTTTGGAAGGTATTCGCCCGGTAACGAAACATGAACTTCTGTGCATCGTAATATAGGTATTCAATCCCCTTTGGAATACATGCCGACTTTCTGTTACTTGCTAAAATTTTGGTAGCAGATGTATTGAAGAGTTTAACCGAGGACGATGATACAATGGCGTTCGATACCAACCGACCAGAACACAACGTACGAAGTGGCCACCTATCGGTCGAGCGTTGCAGTCCATGGGAACAAAGTGCTGTGTTTCTGAGGTACCACGTCGAACGTTAGCCATTCGCACCATATATTATATATCTATCGGGTAGTTTATATATTTTTAACTCTCTGTCGGGACCACAATAACAGCGGTGATGTCAACTGAGGTATTCCATTAGGCATTGAGGAAATAGCTGAGGCCGAGACATAAATTGTAAGAGCCGTGCAGTATGAAGTTTACACAAGAGAACTGAAGACGTTAGGTAAGAATGAAAGTCATCGGAAGATTTGCGAGATCTCTCCATTATCGCCGTATGTAGACGACAAATGGATCATACGAACTCGAGGGGGCGAAGTCATTGTACTACCAGTTGAGGAGACCGATTTTAATACCGTATAACCTTATTGTCTCTGAACTTTAAATCCGTAATTATCACGAATCAGTCCTTGGGTGGAAACCATATTTATCTGCCTCACTACAAGACCAGCTCATTTGCAGATCGCGTATAATCTTTCGACGGATGCGTTTCTACTGTGTCTGCGAAACCTTGTTAACCGCCGTGGTACATTCATCAGAAACGACAATGACACAAACTATAATTGCGCACAAAGAGCTACAGGAGGCAGAGAGAATCTAAGATTTCGGACGTGTACTGAACGAAGTCACCACACACAATACCGATTAGAAATTCAATTGTCACCCAATCCAAGCCCTGGAGAATGCTGGGAGCGATTCTAAGGAAAGAAGACCCAAAGGAGCAAACATACAAAGCGTACTCATCGAAATTAAGAATATAATTAATTCAAGGCTGCTAACGGATAAACTGTTGTCATCGAAGGAAGATGATCCTCTAACGCCGAACCATTTCTTAATAGAGTGTCCTAACTCGACAGAAAGATGGCAGACGAATTTGTCGCAGAGAACAGTGGCGCATCGCTCATTATCTCAAGGATAGATTCTGGAAGCAATTGTACAACATTATTTGCCACAGTTACCACTTCGCCAGAAATAGTATAACAAAGTAGAGCCTATAAAAACATCTGAGTTGTTTCTAATTTGCAAGTGGAACCTATAAAACATAACCTATAACTTATTTTGCGAATTTTCGATTCTGCGACATGGAACCGAAAACTTCGGAGCATCTACTTCTAGACTGTGTAGCGCTTTGCAGATGCAGAACAACACTTTAGTCAACTCTTATTTTTGTCATGTATTTTTAATTGATACATGATACTAACTTACAACTTTGGAATTTAATATGGGAAACTTTAGTATACCATCCCACGATAAAGAATATTATAGCCGCCGGAAACTTATAGTTTTCGAGATATTTGTATTTTAAGTTGAAAGTTTCACAAATTTTATCTCACAATTTTCCGGTTTATTTATTTTTTCTTTTATATTATGCACTTATACACTTACACTTCAGTACAATGTTTCTACATATTTATTTTGTATTCATTATTTTAATATTTGCTTTAAATAAGCACTTTATTTTTACACAATTTTCGTTATATGTGTTATATATTCTTTATCTGGAGAATCTCCTCTATTCAACCATCCCCCTTTTAACCTTGAAATAGTGGGATGGTATACCAAAGCCGACCCATTTAATAATATGTGCATACATTATTATATCGGCTACAACGATTTTCTCTCTTTTCGTTAATACATTATAATTAAACGTATACCTTAGTCCTACGAACCCGTGGAGGGAAGTTCAAGTATTATTATTATATACAATATAATAATTTTGTGAAATCTAGCATAAAAGTTAAGAAATATGTTAATCTATATATTAACACATTTTAAATTCTTCACCGGGGACGAAGCTCTTTTTGTCTAAATTTATATTGCCTCATAGTTTTTATCATAAAACCTACAGAAATCATAGTGCATCGAAAATTAGACCAAATTTTTGGGCATATATCAGCGTACCTAGAGAACATTACCAACATCACCAAATTCTTGTCGCGTGGCAAACAAATAATGATAAGGTTGAATGTCGAACAACCTCTGTCGCACGATAAGGTGCCACCCCGTAAATATTTGTTTGTCGCACAAAACGTGTGACAGCGCAACCAATGAGTTAATATTTTTTTATTTGTTTTGTTTGTTTAGCACATTTCCTGGCCTTTTTTAACGTTTATTCTGTGAAACGCGATGTAGCGGAAAAAAGTATATAATATATTTCTAAAGTTTATGGCGTTAGCGTTTCAAAATCATCGTTTTTATAGCACATCGTTGCCAGATCAAGAATTTTTGTTATTTCTATTAATATTTTACTAACATAAAAATTTTGTATTTGATTTTATACTTAGTTGAATCTGTTGAAATATTATTTTGGAATGATTTTAATACGACTGTCCCATTTTTATCGATAGAGAAACGTTAAACCTACCCGATCTTTACAACTGTCAAAATTGAGTAGGTAATTCAGGTTCTTGACTTATGGTATGAGGGTTGTATGTCTTTTTATATATTGTAACGGATTTCTCGATAAATCGTCTACCTGTAACTCACTCTTGAGTTCGATCACTGGATTGTTAAATAAAAGTCCCAATTTAATGGCTACACACTAATCTTTATTCCAACAACTTAGCACTTAGTGCTCGATATTCGAGTTTACAACTTATTGCTTATAGCTTAATTGCTTTTTACACGGCAGAACTCTAATTAGAACTGTGTCTCTTGCAAAATCCGGCACCCCTTATATAGTAAATTTTTAACAAAAGTTCGCCACTAGAACATTCTGGCAACTTCGAATTCGCTGTCTAGTTGCTTCTGGCAGTTTATCTTCGATTTTGATTTGTTCTGTTATTCGTGTTCGCAACAATATATACAAAAATTTTCATAACCCTAAACACACTATACAGTTCATTGTTTTTACGGTACATTACCGATTTCTATTTTTCTCATTCAATTTAATTGACTGAAGGCAATATATTGAAACACACCGTTATTGTGTTAGTTATCAGAAACTCTTTTGCCAAAGACAGACATAAAGTACATATTGTAATTTTTCTACGAAAACAACATGTTTGCCAACCGTTTTTTGTGTTTTAGTTCCAAAGCAAATGGAGTTCTGTACTACTATAACCTTCTAGAAACCATTGAAATTATGTTGTATTGTGTAATGTACTACGATGGATTACATTGAACACACCCAAAGCTTTAATCTTTTCTGTCACAATCATATGCTTTTTGTCATTTTGACATATGTCAAAAAATTTAAATTCCAAATAAAGCTAAAATCAAAAACAAAAATTGAATAATTGTTCCTCTCTTTAAGGCAATCTTCTTGTACTGTTTGCTCCTGTTAATTTCCTCTGCTAGTCTGAAATATTTACATCTTTTCATAGTACAATGTTATATTTTGATATTTTTTGCAGCTATAGCTAATATGGGGTCCATTTTTCAGATCCATCTGATGAGTGTCAAACTCTTAGAAAATACCATCTATGTCCCACAAGTTTTCCTGAGATTTTATAGTACTACACATTGCAGTATTGAAAACATATGTCTATCTCTAGCATAAATTATTACAGTATGATCAAACATGGAATATTCTCGGTGTATATGTTATAAAATGTATTCTCGGCCTTATGTTGAGTGTGTTGATTACCAAATTTTTTTATCATTACTATTTAGAATGGTATTGGCAATCCTGTCAGGCATGAACAATTTTCATTTGTGTGCGGTTAGAGGAAATTTCATACCCTAAAATCTTATTGCATATGTGTACACATCTCCGAAGTGTTGAAATTTAATTATTAAAAAGTGTAATATTTTATCTACAACGTTTGCAGATAGTGATCTGGGACGAAACACGGTTTGTGTGGTAAGAGTATATGTTTTGAATTCAGAGATGCAGAAAATATGAAGTTTGTTTTTTCATCATTTAATAGTATTATTGTTTTTTTCTTGGAAGTAGGACCAAGTGAGTAATATTTAGATAATTATTTCATTATAAATTTTTGAAATAATTTAAAGTTACTAAAAAAAAAAAACTTGTAATCAATATAAACAACTGGTCCCTTGCTGTAGAAATATTTAATATGGACACATATTGATACTGATTGAATAAAATTTGATATACCTTATACCCTGTGGTATAGAAAGTGAATCGAGTAACTTTTATATGGTTAGTAAATACGTTCAAAATAACCTACTTATGGAAAGATGGGGTCGGCTTTAGAATAATGTCCCACGCTTTCGTGGATAAAATGGGTATGGGCGGATAGAGGAGAACCTACAGATCAAGAATATATATAGATATAGCCGCGGGAAACTTATAGTTTTCGAGATATTTACGTTTAAAATTGAAAATTTCAACTATTTAAAGTACGTATTTTTGCGAGTTAAAATGAATTATACACTTATATTTTTCACTTTTATATCCACTAACACTTGACTAATTCGTTTTTAGAAATTATTTTTATTTTAGATGCTGCAAAAATAACTTTATTTCAATATTTAAATCATTCTTCAATTTTATTAATTTTGACAATAACAAAATGGTTGTGAATGTCAAAACATCAGTGTTGCCATACTAATATATTTGGTAAACGAAGAAAAATAAAATAAACAGAGAGATTGTACCCTAGATACAGGAAACAACGCAAAAAGAATTTCTGCGCGTAAAAACTTTGGTACACCCCGGTGTTGGATCGACCAGGGTTATTTTTTTCAAGCGCGGCCGAAGGCCGCCAACGCAAAAAGAAGTTCTGCGCCAAAAATATTTTGATACACCCCGGTGTTCGACCGGCCAGGGTTATTTTTTTTGAAGCGCGGCCGAAGGCCGCCAACGCAAAAAGAAGTTCTGCGCGAAAAATGTTTTGATACACCCCGGTGTTTGACCGGCCAGGGTTATTTATTTTGAAGCGCGGCCGAAGGCCGCCAACGCAAAAAGAAGTTCTACAAGAAAAAGTAATATTGTCATAGAGGGTATAACATAATACTTAACATCAATGCTTTGTAATAGTTTATTTCTCTAGGTTTTGGATTCCTGTATTTGGGGTATTGTCTGTTTTAATTTCTTTCAGTTCAATTACAAAAGATGTCGATAAGGTAACACTGGTTATTTGAAATTTTGCAACCCTTCTGTTATTGTCAGAATTAATAGAATTTAACAATAATTTAATTATTGAATTAAACTATTTTTGCACTATTTAATGTAAAATAAATGTGTACAAACGAATTAGTGAAGTGTTAGTGGATATAAAAGTGGAAATTATAAGTGTATAACTCATTCGAAATGGGAAAAATGCGTACTTTAAATAGTCGAAATTTTGAACTTCGAAAACTATAAGTTTCCCGCGGCTATATCTATATATATTCTTGATCTGGAGGATCTCCTCTATCCGCCCATACCCATTTTATCCCCGAAAGCGTGGGACATTATACTAAAGTTTTCCCGAAAGATGAATGTATGAATTATACAAAATGTATTCTAAAAAATTTTGGGAAAATTTTAGTATACCGTCCCAGTTTTTCGGTGATAAAATGGGTATGGGCGGATAGAGGAGATCCTCCAGATCAAAAATAAATATAGATATATAGTTTTCCAGATATTTGTATTTGCCATACTAATATATTTTGCAAACGAAGAAAAATAAAATAAAAAGAGAGATTATATCCTAAATACAAGAACCATAATTGTTAATGAACACTAATAAATCTTTTAGTTTCCTTCACTTGATAAACCCTGGTGTTGGACTGACCAGGGTTATTTTTTTTTAAAAACGCGGCCAAAGGCCACCAACGCAAAAAGAATTTCTGCTCGAAAAAAACTTGGACCACTCAGGTGCTGGACCGACCAGGGTTATTTTTTTAAAGTGCGGCCGCCAACGCAAAAAAAGTTCTGCGCAAAAAAATAGTGTTATACCCTGGTGTTGGACCGACCAGGGTTATTTTTTGAAGAGCGGCCGAAGGCCGCCAACGCAAAAAGAAGTTCTACAAGAAAAGGAACATTGTCATAGAGGATATAGAATAGAATAGAAAATGATTGAGGTATGCACCGCGACCTATGATCTATTGTGCCCTCCCCTAAGTCACAGCGACTCATCTAGCCCCAGCATATTGATGAACTCCAATATACTGCTAGGTGCTAGTGAGGCGATGCGATCCCTGTTTGGAAACATGGATCCTAGGGCCTTAACTCTACGTCTGCAGACTGCTGCGCAGTCCACTAGTAGATGTTCTGGGGCTTCCGAATCCATGTCGCAGAACCGGCAGTTTGAAGAGGAGACCAAACCCATGTTAAATAAATGCTTGTTGAGCCTGCAATGTCCGGTGTAGAACGCGATCAGAAGTCGGAATTTGTTCCTCGGGAGATTGATTACGGTTTTAAATCGCCTGAGGTTATAACCCCCCATTAGCAACTTGGCATGGCGCATTCCTTGGAGATGTTGCCAATGTCTCTCCCTGCCTGCTCTTTCCTATTTACGGAGCAGATCTTAGGCTGCAGATGTAGAGGCTGCAGAGCGGGTCAACTCGTCAGCAAGTTCATTTCCTGCTATACCCCTGTGACCAGGCACCCAGATGAGGTGCACTCTATTGAGACTTTATAGGCTGTTGATCCGTTCTATACACTCCTGCACTAGTAGCGATTTGACCTCAAAAGTCGAGATCGCTTTAAGTGCCGCCTGACTATCGATGAGTATGGCGATGCTCTTATTGCGATAGTCGCGTTGGAGGTTTATCTCTACACACCGACTTATAGCATATCCTTCCGCCTGGAATATGCTAGGAAAACTTCCCATGGGAATGGAGAGCTTGGTGCGTGGTCCTGTGACCCATGCGCCAAACACCTCCGCCGTTTTCGAGCCGTCGGTGTACCACTTGATAGTGCTGTGCCTTAGCAGTAGGTCCAGCGTGGAATCGTTCCATTCTGCCTTACTGCCAAAGGTAACTCTGAACTTCCTAGTGGAGAGGGTATAACAATCCTTAACATCAATGCTCTCTAATAGTTTGTTTTTCTAGGTTTGGGATTCCTGTTTTTGGGGAATTATTGTTATTATCTGTTTTCATTTCTTTCAGAAATAATAGAATTTAACAATATTGTAAAATATTGAATAAAACTATTTTTGCACTATATAATGTAAAATAAATGTGTACAAACGAATTAGTGAAGTAAAAATGAAAAATATAAGTGTATAATTCATTTTAAATCGAAAAAATGCGCACTTTGTCTTTTCCCCAAGAGCTGCCGGCAAGCGACTTGAGGATTTTGTTGCGGCTCTGTATTTTGGCAGTTATCGCGGTCGTGTGAGGAGTGAATGAGCGGAATTTTTGTGCCATCGACTGAAATGTTCAGGTCCAGTCTGTACTCCTTCGTCCAATTTGTAAAGATAGTCGCTGTGGATTTAGTGGGAGAGAGTGTTAGGTTCCGGAGCGTTGATTGTTCTAGGTCCTCAAGTAGCGTTGTGTTATTGACTGTGCCAAAAGCTTTTGACAAGTCCAACGCTACGAGGATCGTCCTCTCGCAGGGTGGCTTCTGGTTCAGGCCATGAACTATCTGGGCGTTTATGACGCTAAGTGCTGTGGTGGTACTGTGCACTTTTCGGAAGCCATGCTGATGATCTGCTAGGCTCAGGTGGTGAGTGAATGACGGGAGTAACAAGGCCTCAAGTGTCTTCAGTACTGGGGAAAGGAGAGCTATCGGGCGATAAGACCCCCCTTTTGTTGGCGGGTTTCCCAGGTTTCAGTAGTGGGACCACTCGTCCGACTTTCCACACATCGGGTATTTAAAGAGTGGATATCGACAGGTTGAGGACCTTGGTGAGATAATTTACTCTCGTTGGGCCTAGGTGTTTTAGCATCAGCATGCTTATTCCGTCAGGGCCAATGGATTTAGACGATTTCGCCTTTTTGATGACGCTCTGAACCTCCGCATCGGTGAAAGTAAGTGGTGCGCAGTCTTTTGGCATTTTGCGCAGCCGTCGGGTAACACATCGTTTGGCCTTGTCAGTCGAAGGGTGCAGTGTAAATTGTCGGCTGAAATAGCTCGCGCACTTCTTCGGGTCCGAGAAGGCATGACCATCGAAAGGGCCTTGACAGTAGTCCAAAGCTTACTCACACCGGTGGAGAGGTTGCAGGACTTCAGGTGCTCTATCCATTTTGTCCGCTTATGATGATTTACCATTTGCCGAATCTCCAAATTGAGATCCCTTATTCGGGGATCACAGGGATCGGCATGGCGTAAGGTGTCGCGCTCGTTTGCTAATACAGCTGCTTCGGCTGGGAAATTAGGGCGGAGTTCCGCGATTCTTCCAGCCGGTATGAAACGAGCAGTAGCAGCAGCGATCACCTTGCGGAATTGACGCTCGCCAACGATGACGTCCGTAGGAATGGGTAGTGCGTTGAAGGTGCTCTCAGTAAATTCCGTGAAGCCGACCCAGTTAGCTTTGTTAAAGTTAACATAAATGGGGTTGTCCACAGAAATAAAGTCAGGAGGTTTCTCGATGGAGATAATTATGGGCAGATGGTCTGATGCTAGAGTTAGCATAGGTCGCCAGGTTATACTACTTATCAGACCACCGCTAGCGATGGTAATATCTGGCGAGCTATTACAGGTGCCCATAATTCTGGTGGGGGCTTCGTCATTCATTGTGCAGAATTTCGAATCGTCTATGTTCGCCAGCTCCATCCCCCTACGATCGTTTGACAGGCAGGAATGCCAAAGATCGTGATGCGCGTTAAAGTCGCCTAGCACCAAACGGTTTTCACCACGTAGTAGCGCATCTATGTTCGGGTGATATCCTGTTGAGCAACATGTAACTGGGGGGGATGTATATATTAAATATTTCGAGCTCGACATCGCCTGACCGGACAGCTATA